TCGAGTCGACCGGGCCGTCTTCAAGCGTCGATAGACCCTTACGCGCTTGTCCGTCCTTCGAGAGAGAGTCGACTTATACTAGTCGACTTCCACGAGTCGACTAAGAGAGACATCTGGGCCCTTAACCGGAGATATTATAAGGAATCTGTGGATGGAGTCGACTTTGAATAAGTCGACTCGGTAATGTCTGAGCCGTAATAGTATAAACCTTATACGATAGTATGATTATATCACGGTGAACATGTGCTTGCTGTGGTGGACAAGAGTTTAATTAATTTACAAATAAGTAAAAGTTGACATACAATTACATATTTATACCACGAAATGAAGTAGAAGGTATCTATTTCGCTATTTTTTTTTTTTTTTTTTTGTCTCTTGGCATCCTATGGGGACGTAGCCAATTCGGACACTCTGACTGTATTTATTTATCTTCAAAAAGAGATCACCAATTTGGAATAATGGATAACTAACCAATCATTTCATTATTATTATATATCAACTCCTAGTAGTGAACTAAACGAGTGTTACAAAAACACTAATTGTCCAATAAAATATAAAAAAAATGAAATTCTTGTTGTGAAATAAATAAACTATAAATAACTAATAAGAGAATAATTTAAATATAATTTCAGATTCTAGACAATATTTTTATAAAGTATTATTTGTTTTATTTTATATATATATATATATATATAGATCTAAAAGTGGCATAGATTTTTGTACGACAAAAAAAAAAAAAACTTAATCCGCTAGCTGTCATCAATTCGTTGTCGATTCGCCTTCCTCGGCGACGGCGTGGCCCTGGCTAGTGGTTGCCCTTGACCGCTCGGCACGTCACAAATGTCTTGTGCCCCTGATGTTGCTGCGGTTCTTCTGGGTGGTCTGCCCTTCGGTCGCCGACGAATTTGCGTTTGGAGGTAGCGTCCCCTTGGTCGGCGAGCGGTCTGCGATTGGTGCTTCCCTCTTGGTCGCCGGTGGATCTTCAATTGGTGGAGGTATGCCCCGCTTTATGCGTTTTGTCTATGTTTGGAGTTCCCCTTCGGTCGGTTTTGCCCTCTCCTGTGGGGATTTTGGTTGATGGTCGTCGGTGTTCTGCGGTGTTGTTGGGTGGTGCGTGGGTCTATCGATGGGACAAGACTCCAGCGGCTGCGACGTCTTGCGTCGGGGAAGTGGGGGTTGTAGGACCGAGTCGCTCTAACCCTCTGGTTCACTGGTGTTGGGGACGGTGGGGTGTTTGGTACGTCTGAGTTTGGCTAGTGGTGTTAGACGAGTTCGGGCCGTCCAGGTGCGGGTAGTTGGTTTCGTTGTTCTCTCGGTTGGAGGCGGGTCGACTCCGAGTTCGATTCGGGGTTTGGATTCAGCTTCTGTATAGGTAGTTCCGCAGCTTCAGAAGTAGTTCCTCGGGCTTGGGATCTTTCTTGGAGTTGATCGCTTCTATGTTGTTCAGCCCGTTTGTCTGCTGCGGAAGGGATTGTCCGTTGTTTATTTAGTTATTTGTTCTATTTTGTATCGTTTGAGTCTGTGTTGTTTTTTATTTGGTTTTTGGTTTGGGCTTTTGGCATCTGTACTCTGCTTGTGTGCGGGGATTATCCCTTGGGGATCGTTTCTATTCTCATATGGGGAACTTTGTGTTGGTTTGTTTTAGTGTTTGTTGTGTCGGTTGTGTTTGGGTCTCTTTTTTTTGTTTCTACCTTGGCTAGTTGCGGTTCTAGGCAGTCTATGACCTGTCCTCCCACTTTTTTCAGCTGTTGGTTATATTATTCAGCTGCAGGCTATAATTTTGCATATTTGTTGTGATTTATAACATTTTCTATCGTTCTGTAAATATATATATATATTCATTTTTTTTAAAATTAAATATAATAATTAATTTCTTCGGTAGTTAATATAACGCCCGTGAACAACACACATGCTTGATTATTAAATATTGTTTTATCAAAATAAAGAGTGAAGAAATTTATATTATTAAAATAGAATGATAAAACACTGTAACACCCGCTTACTTATTTGAAGAAAAGACAAGATTTTTCAAAATTAATATTGAACTTGTTGGAAACATTTTCCAAAACACTGCTCATTGGGCATTACTCAAAAAATATTTTCTTTCAACCTTTCAAAATACTAACTTGTTCGATTTAATCATGAATCGGGATCAGTACCATTGAAAGTTGGTAAACTAACCTTGGGTTTTTTGTTCTTACGTCGTTCCCTGTGATTCGATCCCCTTGAACGATTATCCTCTTTCACCCCCGAATCCATTGTGGAATTTGGCCTCACTACTTGCGTCAGATTCCCCGTCCAACAAAGAATCGGAGGTATTCTTCCTTGCTGCGTGTTGAAGCAACATCCTCTCGATTCTAGCAACCACTTGGTTCGGCGATTGTACGTCCTCGTTAATCGAATGAACGTTGTCCTCCAAACGATTAATTCTCTCTTGATTTGACATGGATACATGATCAATGTTCTCTTAATGTAAGGAGCAATGTTACGATCGTGTATCAAAATTAAAGAAATTATCGAAGAAAGTGTAAACCCGCACTAAAATGGCCATCGATCGACACGAGATTTGGTGCTCAATGAGCGTTTGAATTATGAAATTTCTTAAAAAAGATAAGAAAAGATAATACCAATCTTCCTTATATAGTCTTCAAAACCAGAAAAAAGAGAAGAAACCATACTGCTACGATTTTTGGAATTCAAAAGAAAGAAAATAACTGCAATTAATCTACTCCAACTGCTTCTATTCGTGGTTGCTCCACGGAGCGGCGAGGCTTACGGCGTGATGGGTGCCCGGCGGCGTGGAGTGGTAGGGCTCCGCGGCGTGGCGTTTGAATCATCTGTAGCCTCTGTTGGTACGTGGCGCTCTTCGTGAGTTGCTCCGTGGCGTGACGGGTTGGGCGGTCCACGGCGTGGAAGTCCTGGACGACCAAGTCTCTGTATGCTCGTGGAGGTTCTCGCAGCATGGAGGTGTTGGCGCGATGCGGCGTGGTGGATCCAGCGGCGTGGCAAGAGGCGCATCAATCTGCAGCATGTTCATGAAAGTTGTACCTGCATCTGCCTCAGTCCTAGTCTTCTTGAGATGAGCTCGTTGAGCCCTATTGTATGCATTTTTAAGGCTACGACCCTTGTTCGCATGAGATGCTTGGATATAAAAATTTTTGGATTTGATTGGATTTTTTTGGTTTGGTTGGTTAATTTTGAAAAAGTTGGTATGATCAGTTGTTAGTTGGTATATTGAAATAATATTTAAAATAAAATAATTAATGTCGATTTGATGTAAAAGTAAGAGCAAGGTGATTTAAAGTGATTGTTAGTTAAAATTATGTGAATGGATGAATAGTAAATTAAAGTTGATATAGTGTGGACAATGATTGATTGATAATATTTAATTATATTAATAATATTGATGATAGTTGAGTTGAGTTAAAAATAATTGAGTTTTGGTGGAAATTAATCTGGCGCGTACCAGCACCCCAGCGAGCTCGCCATTTCTTGTGGCTTGCAGCCAAAGATCGCCTCCTTACGAACATGGAGAGAGTTCGGCGACACTTATCGATTTCTGAGCAGTGTGATTTCTGTGGAATTAGGGAAACGATTATGCACGTGTTGAGGGACTGCCCTGTCATTAAGAATCTGTGGAA